TCTAACGGTTCAAGGCACTCTTGGGGTCTTCTTAAATGAGTAGCCCGAAGCAGAAAACCAGCTGCTAACTATAGAGGTACATTTTGAACAGCTCAGAGCAGAGCTGTGCCCAAAATTATTCCATTTGTTGTCTCTGCCAGAGCCTGAAATTAAACTATTGGAGAGTCTTTGTTTCTAGAATGAAATTTTTTTTCTGGAGATAATGTCTTAAATTATTATATGTTACTAAATGTGTTTCATTTTGAGGTCTTTTTAACAACTGGAAACAGAACCTATAGAAATGAGATCTAAGCTAAGCACCATATTTAAAAATTAGAGTCATCTAACTGACAATTTTGCTTTAGGATATACCATAGGCATCACATGCATGATTGTCTTATTCTCACTGAAAATTCTCTTTGACCAGATAGAAGCAAGAATATATGTACTTTCCAACAGGATCAGCGAGGTGTCTCTTCCATAGCAGTCCACAGACCCTACTTTTCTTGACTGAGAAGAGCACAGCTGCCCTTTCAAACGCCCTCACTTTCATTGGCTGGGTCTATGTCCCCGATATTTCAAAAATTTTGTGAGATGTGAGAGTTTTACCAAATGCCAGGCAAAGCAAGACTTCCTTGCATTTAGTCCAAGTTCCCTTCACTTAAATTCTTAGGGTCACCACGTCATGGTATTTGGTTCTCAGTAAGCATTCCCTCATGTTGCAAACTTTTATGGATTTCAATTCTTCCCCTTCCATCATTAGTGTAATCTTCATTCTGGAAAACTTCCAGTGCCAATAATTCAACTATTTTTAAGTTTATTTTTTCCTTTATTTTTTAATTTTTCTAGCTGATAAATTATTTCAAACATAAAGCTGTGGGGTTGATTAAGCTTCTAAGTCTCTACAATCAAATAAATTTATGTAGTGTAGAATTGTAGGGACTGCTTTTTCTCTAAGAAGGCCAGTATGAACTCTTTTAAATCCACTTACATCCTTGCTTATAGGTATAAGAAAATTAATCTTCCTTAAATGATTTGATTGTGTATTGAAACAATTTAGGTTATATCTATATTCCTTCCTCTTATGAGCCTAGTTACTTGAAGATACCAAAGAAATATGAGGCACTTAAAAACTAATCATTAATACCACTTTTGTATTTTATTTTAAATAAATACATGTTCATTTGCTAAATGGTTATCCTGTTTCACCAACAAGGAATGTAGCATGGACAGCAAAACTCATTAGCACAATACAAATGCTTTCAGGAGGTCTCTGGAATGCCTACATTTAAAAAATACACTACCCAGGACTTGGAAAGAATCTCAAACTCTAAGGCCAAAGAATCTATCGCATATTAATCTTCTTTATCAAAAAGTTTGATTGTGGCACTAAAGACAAAAATAAGCCTATTGTGTGATAGCAAAGGGGAAAAAGCGTCTTGGGAAGCGTCACTGAAGGGCGAAAGGATGCTGTGACGCTCAGCAGGGAGGGAGAGATCTGGCAGTCACCAATCAGTCCTGAAATCCTTAGGTAGGCATTTCAACCTTATAAACATACATTTTTCTCCTTTGTAAAAGGAAGTGTTGAAGTGTGTTTATTTCAGGGTTTTGCCACGACAAACCAGAAACTCAGAGCAGTTTTATGACTTAACCAAGGTGACAGAGTCCAGAGAAAGTGTTAGAAAAACTTCTTAAACTTATAACTGGAGTTTTGCCTCCCAAGGGAACTCAGTTCTTTTAAGTAAAAGCATGCATACAGATTCAACCAGCTGCTACCCTGGAAAGGACAGTAAATATGCTCTAACTCGCACAAAGCCTAATGTGCTATTGTTCCAAACTTCTATACATAATTAGAAATTTGGTGGCTATTCTTTATTTTCATCAACCATTTAGGAGCCATATAATTCTCACAACTTCACTGTGTATCTTCTTAAGGTTAACATTATGAATATGGGGGGAGGTTTGGAACAAAAGACTATTTAAAATGAGAAGTCTACTGGGTATGAAGGGAATCTGTGATTTGATATTACCCTCAATTTTTCCTGACACATATTTCTAAATTTTCTGCCGGCTCTTCCCATCACTGCTAGAATAGAAATGCATTCCTTTCTGCACACGTTCTGCAGTGTCATCAGCCCCCAAAGCATGCTCTCAGAGACTGGGTCAAGAGGTCTCCTGAGAGGATGGATGAGGCTATGAAGGCATGGAGGGCACAGGGAAGAGGCTGCTTTGCATTGCTCAGGAATTTTTGGCTCCTTAAAGCATAGTACAATGAAGGCACAGCCATACCACTTCTAGAGTTGACATAAGAGACAATAAAATCCACTCTTCAGGTATTTACAGATTATGTTGATTCATTTAGTATACTGTATGCCTAACACACTATAGTGTAGCCTATATTTTAAGAATTCACCAAGCTACAGCATATTGTATATGCAATAAAAACCTAAACCTAAAAAGCTAAACCTAAAATTTAAGCCTTTAAGGAATAATTTCTATCATTTCAAAAAGATTGTCTAGTTATATCATTATACATAGGGATCTTAGTTCTACATTTGCAATTATCATTATAGATCATTTTGATATATTAATTTGCAAGGATTTCCTTGGTGTATTAATTAGCATACTTTGGTATACTAGTATACTAATTTGGTATAGTAATAAGGGTTTTAGTTTGGAAATATAATTCAGGGTTAGAGTGTTTGCTGAGCATACATGAGGTGCTATGTCCAAGCCCTAGCACACAAATGAAATAACATAAAATATACAAGTCCGCCAGATTTAAGGAAACATCAGTTCCAATATACATTATACAGCTGAATACAAAAGTTATACAAAACATCAATGATTTCTTTCCTTGCATTTCATAAATAACCATTAAGGTTTCTTAATTATTGTCACATTTTTTTTTCTGAATAATTCAGTTTTTCAAATGTAGTAGGAACTGTAGCCCTTAATTTTATCTTCCAGGCAAGATGCTATTAGGGTCACTTCCCATGTAGGGAGAAAACAATCTTCTTGGATAATAATGATAAAACCTTATGGAATGCAACAACAACCAAAATATGTATTCTCAGATGACTGTATTAGGGCCAAGTCAATATTAGTCCCACTTCACCCACACACCACATAGTCTAAAAATGTTGTCAGCCTGATAAGAATTTCCTGATTTACTCTTTTCTCCAATAGAAAATATAGGTCATCAAAATAAACTCTTGACAGTAAAAGAACAGAATAGCCATACTGTCCACAATGTCAAATCTCTCTTCTACTAGCCAGTTAACTGTAAGATGGTTTTCCACTTGATCAAAAAGAAAAAGAAAAATCAAAAAAATCTGGAACAAGCCATGTTAATAAAAGGATTATGAAAAGTCCCAAGTACACCTCTCAACTAAATTCTTATGGTCGACTCAATCAAACATCTCTTAAGCAATATCTACAGAATCTCAAAATGTAGCAGAAGTTGCTCATTGTGGAATTCATCAGTACAGACCATTCAAATATTCTTTTTAAGTAAAAAGGTAATTCTACATTTAGTTGATAGTTTTAGCAAAAGAACAGAATTTTGGGGCTGAGACTCAAGGATGTTGTAAAAATCAAGATTAAGGTATTTGGTGTCATGAAAACCAACTTTTACCATTGGTGATACAACATTTTTCCAAGTTTTATATTCTGGCTTATTAAAAATATTATAATATTGAGCCCCACCATAGATTCATATTTTAATGGAATTAATTTTACAACTCCTAAAAGTAAAATAAAAACCTTGCTTGTAACCACTCCTACCGGTTGATTAGGTTTTTTGCAAGGGAGGTATCTTTCTGTATATTTAGTAAAGTGTGAGTTTCTGTTCATCCACTTTCCAACTGATAAGTGAAGGCCTCCGAGATCTCAGAGATGAAGGAAAACATCCTGCATGCAGGACTGAAAAGTAATAGTATCAGTGGCCTATTGGGTGCACTTGCCTGACTTGAACCTGCATGGTTTTCTCCATTACAGGTATTTTGCATATGCCAGACAAAACAGTTCAATCAGCATGTTTTCACATGTCATCCTTGACCACAAGTTGCAAAATATGTGCTGTCCTCCTCTTCTCAAAAAGCAATGAATATTAAAGTAAATAAGTAAATAGTAACAGAAAAGTGTGGCTCTTTCCTCTTTTACCCTAACTAGTCTTGGTTTGGTTGGCACTGTTTAGCTGCTGAATCTGGTGTGCACACCACTGCAGATCAAATGAATGTCACAGCCCCTAAGTTTTAAACAGAAAGTTATGATTTCTTTCCAAAGAGTACCACTGTAGATGGAAGGGACACAGTGAAATAAGAAACAATGATAGAAATTCTGGGGAGGGTAATTTCTTAACTGTATCTAGTTGCACTTTTAAGTCTCATGAACCTAACCCACCCAATGCAATCCCCATACTCCGAAGAGGACCCTATTTCTGTCTAGTGTGTTACCAAGCACACACATATTTTGGTGTAATGCTAACTAATCCTTGATGCACTTTCTGCTGTGTTGAGAGGGTAATATCCAAGAGCAAGGAGTACCACGTTCCCCAGAGCTCTACTCCCTCTTCCGAACTAACTGTATTTTCTCTTAGTTCCCAGACACTTTTTTTCTAAACCAGGAATGGAATCCCAGTCACTTTTTATGAACAACATTTACAGTTTCTTGTCATGGTCCCCAGAGTTCAGAAATTCAAGGTAACCTCTAGGCTGGGAAACAGGAGGTCAACAGAGTCTGTGTTTAGATTGAATTAGAAAATAAATGACGAACCCTGTCATCCCTATCCTCTAAACACACAGTTAAAGAGGGAGAAATTACAGCGAAGTTTAAAAAAAAAAAATTCAATACATGTTCCATTAGACCAATATTCCACTTTTAAAAGTCCCAGAAAGGTCATTCGTGAGCTCATTGATCAGGCAGCCTCTGCTACCTGTTCATACTCAATTCAGAAAACCCCGAAACATTCCATCTTCCTACAGAAACAAAATGATTTGCTTTAAAGGAAGTTTACTCACATAGTCCTAAGTCAGAGGCCCCTGGAGAGCTTCAGAGAGCTGAGTCCTCAGAGGCAGCCGAGTGTGTCTAGGGGGCAGCCTCTGAGCTCAGGTGACAGCAGCTCACTGAAGCTCCCGCCAGGTGAAGCCTGTCTGAGTCCCCTCCAGTCACCGAAGGCGGCGAGCCTTCCCGCAGCGCAGCGGCTCCTCCTCGCCCCCGCCGCTCCCTGCTCAAGGGCGCTCGCGCAGGTCCCAGAGCATCCCGCGCCTCCGTCCCGTCCTGCCACCGCGTCGCCGCAGCCCAGACCGATACTCTCGGTGCCCCTCGCCTCCGCCCCCGGCGGGCTGCCCGGTCGGTGACTCACCTGCTGGCCAGGTTGGGGCGCCGGGTGATAGCAGGCAGTGGGGCAGGTTGCAGCTGCCGCGGGGTTGGGCAGATACTGGGGCGCTCCATACGGCTGGGGGTGATGCATCACCTCCGCACAACTCATGGCAGCAGGGCCAGCGGCAGCCCCCGAGTCGCCGCCGCCGCCGCTCTCCGCGCTGGCGCGAGGGACCCCCCCGCCGCCGCCTCGGCCGCCGCCCGTGCCGCGGCTCCAGCTGCTACTGCGGCGAAGGCGGGTCCTCGGCCGCCGCGGGCTCCGCGCGGGGCGCGAGCTCGGGAGGGGGCGGCACTCAGCGGCGGCCCATGCGCGGGCACCCTCATCTTCAGCCCCGCGGCTGCCCCTCGTCCGCGCTCACATGGCAGCCCGGCACGGTGGCGGCGCCCGGCTCCGCGAGGGGAAGCGCCCAGCGCCGCTGCAGCTCGGCCGGAGGCGGAGGGCGGCCTCGGGAGCCAGGCGGGACCCGGGTTTGCGGGGACACCGTGCACGCCCCGGGTTCGGCCCGCCGCCCGAGCTCGCGGCTGGGCCGGACGGGCTGGAGGGGACCGGAGCCCGGACGCCGCCGGTGGGAGGGGGCGCTGCGCTCCGGGCTCAGCCGCCGGCTCCGCAGAGTTGCTGCAACTCGTGGCGGCGGGCGGGTCGCCCAGCAGGGGGACCCTGGGGAGGGCAGGCTGGGATTGGAGCGAAGTTTGCAGCCCTCTCCGCCTCCCGGCTCGGGGTGGTGGTGGTGGGAGGGGAATGGTATGCGGGAGGCTCCGCGCCCTGGAGCCCTGGCCTTCCCAGTCCGTCTCTGTCACCTGGCCACAGGGCGTGGACGTCCCACCCAGCTCCCAGGGGCTTTCGCGGGGACCTCAGCCCCGAACCAGACAGGGCCCAGGATTCAGCGGCAAAAGGGAGCAAGCGCGAAATAAAGGTTTTTGAGTCCTACATTTAAAAAAAGCAGTATGCAAAAGAAAGTTAACATTGTTAGAAGTGCGCACGTGCCAAGAACGCAACGTGTTTTTTCTACAAGTTAACTCCGATTTAATTTACACCTGCATAGCAGGGCATTCTTATGGGATACTTTTTTTGGCTTTTATAAACCTCCAGATTTCCATAGAAAACTAAATAATAATAATAATAATAATAATAATAATAATAATTGATCAAAAGAGTACTGATTGGCAAGTGGCCTATGATTTTCAAAATTAAAAGCAAATATTTGTAGGAAAATAGTCATATTCCAGTAAAATCAATAGAAAATAATACCTTATAAATGAGCAAAACCTCTGCTCTGACATCTACCTTTTTATGACACACGACAGTGTCTTATTTTCACAGGCTATCTTTTCTCAGTGAAAAAGTCAGTATCGGTATCAAATACATAAATGTAGACATGGTCGGAAACTTACCCTGTGCGCACACACAGACACACACACACATGAAAGTTTGTATCTTGGATTCCTCATCCTCAGTGCGACTGTATTGGGAAACAGCCTGTTAAGAGATTGAAAGCATAAGATATAATGGAATAGGAATAATGGAGTAGGAGCCATGTCCTGTAAGAGGTGCAGACCTCAGGCCCTGCGCAGGCACTATGAGAAGACTGCAGTGTATAAGACCCAAGAGGAGTCCCCCAAACCAACGCTCACTGCATCTGGATCTTGGATTTTTCACTTCTAGAACTGTGAAAAATAATTTTTGTTGTTTAAGCCAACCAGTCTGTAGCATTTGGTTGTGCCAGTCCCAGCTGAATACTATGGATGTGTGTTTCTAATACATAGTTGACCTTTTATATAAGTATGTAACTACAGCAACACATAAAGGTACATCCAGATACTCACAAACACATACAAATCTACACACAGATACTCGCATACCTACACACACACAGACTATAATAATTAGACAGGAACATTTTGCTACCCCATAACAACTTCTATTTTACTCACTGATTGTAGCATCTGCTAAACATTAGAGATGTACTTGTTATGGGTTTATACTGCTTGAACTTTATGCTCTTGTAGTAGAGTATTACTATCTGTAAGATGTATAAGAATTTACTTTAAATGTTTATTAGTGTCTTTGTCCAAATTGGCGTTCCTCGGCAAGACCCCTTCCTATGTTACAGACTCATCTACCTGACTTCTTTCTAAATAGCTCCACATAGATGTCCCATAGGACATCTATGCTATGCTATGTTGTCACAGCATTAATTTTCACCCATCCAGACCTGATTCTCCTCTCATTGTTTACCCAGGTACTGACATCCTCGCCACTCACTGCCTCAGGTAGAAATCTCTTCCTTCTCATCAGACTGCACACAGATTGTTCGGAGTCCAACTGATTCCAAGTTTTATATTTCTACTGTCTCCTTATTTTCTTATCTCTGTTGCTTTCTTAATTTTCTCAGCATTTCTCACCAGCACCCCTGCAAGAAACTCCCTTCTGATAGTCAGACCCTAGATCGATCTATCTTTTGATGTGTTCTTTACCATTCACACTCCTATTTTTTAATGACAACCCAGTCAACGTAAATCCAAAAGAGTAATGGTGTTTTGTCCCTCTTTTTTAGTATATGTGCTGCTGAAGCAAGCCCTTGTTCCTCCTTTTTAAAAATTTCAAAGTAATGCCTCATAGTCCGAAGTTTCAACTCTATCAGTCTAGCTTTTGCCAGTGTCTGTGGCAAATTCCAGGATTTATGTAACCATTTGAATTGAGGTCCTCCCCTTTCTAAAAAGGATCTGTGATATCTCTACCATAATGTCTTTTTACAGATGTGTAGAACATTAACGGCTTTCTCATGTCACTCACTTACCAGCTCTTTTTTTCCCAAGGAATCATCTTTTAAAACATCTAGTGAAGACCTGCAAAACGCCCCTGCTCTCACCAGCTCCAGGGCTCCATGGATGCTGCTCTCGCCATAGTAACAATCAGTTAACTACCTGACCTGCAGCTGCCTGTGGACTTGTCTCTCCAGCATGACCATGGCTGCTTAAGAGGGACTGTGACTTCTACTTAAGAGTCTCAATCATATAATGCTTGATGTAGTGAATGTTCACTGAATAATGAAAGTGTAAAATGGAGAGAAAAAAGTCTTAGAAGAATTGATAAACTTGTGGGGGAGCATACAAAATCAGTGAGCAGTTACAACACTGAATATGGTTTCAAATTCTGTTTCAGGTTTTCTGTTATATAATACAATGTGAAAGTTTTGGTGATGAGGAAATAATCAGGGCCCTGAAGATAGTGACTAAATGAAGCCATGAAACTAGTTTTCTAGGATAAATTTGTGTCAAAACCAGGCCTCCTGTTAAAAACTTTTAATACTTGCAACTTTTTCTTCAAAAAACTTAATGTATCTTTTATTTGTACAGTGATAAATTCAATATGTCTCTCCACTAGATGGTTGTAAAATTAATTTCTATCTCATTATCCCATATTTAACACTGAAAAGGTTACAGTATATGTTTGTTAACTGAAAAACTGAAATCAGAACCACATTCAACAAATCTGCTCCCTCTCTCCAAATTCTATGTATTTTATATGCCCTAGTTTGTGGCAAATATTTATTGTATGACTGCAATATAGTACGTGGGTATAAAATAAGCATAGACACTAAATCTGTGCATGCTTGTCAAAATATTCACCAATGAAACACTTTTTTGGAGAATTCATTTTGTTTCTATATATTATTGGTGCAAATGAGATTTAAAATAATTGAAAAAAAACAGGAAATAACTGTCTGCATGCAGTTAAAGCAGCAGTTTTAATTGGCTAATGAAATTAGATTGATTCCTGCTGAGAGCTGAATTGAAGTTCTGGTAGTAAAGGAAATGCCCTGACTTACTTAAAATGTTCCAGGTATATGTTTTCAATATAAAAGCAAAAACAATAAAATAAAACAAAATAAACAAAAACAAAGATTCATCTAATTTTAAGACATCTTGTCTCATGGAGAAACAAAGACATGACCTGACTCAAGTCCAAGGGACTAGCAACAGAACTAAAATCAAAGCCCAAACCTTCTATATTTCGGGGGGATGGCTTTCTTTGTTTTGCTTTTTATTCAGTTTTTGCACCATCACCCACATTAAAGATATCTGAATAACACAAATGCACACTTACATGCATATATACATGTTACATGTATGTACATATTCATGCATACTCAGTGATGCAAACATATGCATGAATATTTAAAGAAAAGTTTTATTCTCGGTTATCCTTGGTCATCTTTGTAGTAGGGGGAAGTGCTGCTACTTCTTGCGTTTACAATAATGAATCACTCAGATCAGAGAATGCAGCCTGATCACTGGGATACTTTTGCATCATTATTATGCACAGGTGTCACACTTATAACACAGGGAAAAAAACAGAAACTGAACAGAACTTGATTATCCATATAATTTAATGTGCCTCAAACCAAGTTTACCTTGTTGTAATGTCTCCTCTTTGGCATTCCTCATGCACTTCTGACTGAGTCTAGATATGGAACACAAACCTATCTCTCTGATGCCTAGTCTCCTACTTTATTCTATCCCAGTAACTGAAATGCTAATAAAATTCACAAATTATATTAAATGTTCCTAATGTCTACCCTGTTAAAAGTTTATTGTTACTACATGTTATACCTCATCCACCAAATACTCAGAATCTTCTCAAATTTTCCAGCTGGAATTTGTTGAGGTGAATTCACAAAATTACTATTTGGAGGAGTAATTTGAAGTGAATTTTCCCAATATCTCTTGAATAAGGTAAAAATTAGAATATAGGCACTGTCCCTCAAAGTGTCCATACTGTAGTCCACTGAATCTATGAACATATTCTTAGCAGAATGGAGTCAAGAGCATAGATACATTTAAAACTGTTAATGAGTGGACTTTAAAATGGAAAGATAATTCTAATTATAT